GTGAGTGTAGCATTACATTATTAACTATAATATCAGATTTCCATTCTTGTACTGCAATAAATTAATTTCAAGTAATATAATTTTGTAAATCTCAAACAACTGTGAAAATTCAAAAAATTCTTATCATCAAAAACCTGCTATACATGTACATATTAGTTATGGCACAGTAAAGAGTGCTGCATGGCCAATAATGGCACAAGGGGTGGAGTCCATTTAGTTGAGACAGCAATACGTAGCACAAGGTGCAAACTATAATGGATTTATGGTTTATAAAATTATGTGGGTCCATCAAAGGTGTCCGCCAAATACACTTTTAGAGAAGTTTCCTGGAGTCTTTAATGCTGGCCCTTTCCCTCCAATTGCTATTGTACATGTACATGTATGTATTTAGTGGATGCAGCAACAAGGAGAAATAAATTTACTACTTCATGGCTTGTTTTAATCACTAAATTTGCTACACTAGAAAGCAATACAATTTTTGAGGTTGTTTCTACTTTTTGCTTTAGTGCATGATCATCAGTATACATGTAACTTACTCCAGTTTTAATGCTTGGATCAGCACCATTAGACAATAAAACTGATACAACTTCATTACGTCCTATTAATGCTGCATAATGAAGAGGAGTCCTTTCATCCTAAAAAATAATATTAAGTCACACAACTGACTTTATCAACAGCATTAATTGGGGTAAAAATTCATACATGTACATGTACATGTAAATTCAATTTTCTTGAACTAAAGGAGTAAAGCAATGCTTATTATACTCAAACATGCGTCAATGATTGTACTGTATTTTAGTACCTATTAAACACCTGGGCATTCATTTCTTAACAGCAAGATAAATTTCCTTGAAATAAAATCAAAAAGATACTTCCAGTGGGACAGAACTCCCAACTCAGACCAGGCTCTAACTAATAAGCACTTTGAAGCTATCTAAATAGTGAAGCATTGTTTTTGGTACAAATACATGTATGTGTGTCTATAGCTACCATCTATCTGGAAATTTTTAATGTGATTTTAATTTTACTGCATTGCAATTTCGCAAAAATTAGATTACCTATAAAATTACATGCCACATTCAACAATAGATGACACAGTCTAGTTTAGTAAAAATAAAATCACAGCACAATTTTAAAACTCAAAAAATTTTCTACCACACTAATTTCCTGATCTGCAGTATATTAATGACAGGCATTTACATGTATTTGGACCAGGCGTTTATACAGTAAAATACGGTACCTGTACCTATACATGCATTTATATACAGTAGTACAGTTGCTCTTGCAGTCATGGTGAGTAAACTAAGTATACTTTAAAAACTCCATGCACCAGCCTGATTGATAAAAAATACTGAAAATGCTGTCCCTATGGGTCTAACAATGAAATCACATTAAAAATAAAGAATGCCTATTTTATTTCACTAAATAAAGAAAATCTAATACGACATTTAATACCATTCCCATTCTGTTCTTTGCATTACTATAAACTGTCAGTATAACTTACTTCATCTTTAATGTTTGGATCAGCACCATTAGACAATAAAACTGATACAACTTCATTACGTCCTTCTGATGCTGCAATATGAAGAGGAGTCCTTTCATCCTAAAAAATAATATTAAGTCACACAACTGACTTTATCAACAGCATTAATTGGGGTAAAAAATTCATACATGTACATGTAGATTCAAATTTCTTGAACAACTAAAGGAGCATAACAATGCTTACTATGGTCAAACATGCATCAATCATTGTACCTGTACCTATACATGCATTGATATACAGTAGTACAGTTGCCCTTGCAGTCATGGTGAGTAAACTGAGTATACTTACATGTAAAAACTCCATGCAACAAACCTGATTGATAAAAAAATGTTGAAAATGCTGTCCCCATGGGTGTAACAATGATTTAACATTAATGATAAATAATTTTAATGAATGCC